GACTGGTGGATTCTATCAACCTTCTCCTCAAAGAAGGTGACAAAATCCTGAGGGGTGAGAGAAGAGGGTGGAGGGGGAGGAGAAGGGTTGAGGAGAGAGGAGAAAATGCTGAAGAGCTTGCGTGGATCAGATGCTGATGCTTCCAGTTTCCCTCTGTAGAAAGATGACTTTGCAGCAGTAACTTCGAGTGAGAACTTGGAAAGGAGAGATTGGTAGGAGTGAAGATCCGAGTCGAGTTGGGATTTCCTCCACCTTCTCTCAGCCTTCCTTAGTTCTTGACAGTTGCTGCGCAGGACAACTGTCAGCCAGGGGGCAGGTGGGGAAGATCTTGCTGGTCTGGAGGAGAGAGGACACAGAAAGTTAATTGCAGATGAGAGTGAAGAAAGGAAAGCATCTGTAGCTGTGTCCAGTAAAACACTTACTTATTTAAAGTAGTCCCTGAAGAAAACCTATTTTTAAAGATTCGCAATATTACATATGAAAACCTCAGAAGACACGTGAAGGTTCACTGGTGGTTTCGGATAATAAATAAAACGGCTATATCTGTGTTGTAGACATGGCGACCCCTGGTTCCTATCACCACCACTGTAAAGAAATCAGAGTCTGTAAGTTTCTCTACAATGAACCATTTCATATCCAACCACTCTGAATGACTTTGTTTACATCTCAGTGATTAAATTACACAGAAATAAAAAAAACAGGTGGAATTCCTCTATAATCCCTGTGCAGGAAACCCACTAATTACCCCCCATACCATGACAGACCCTGAATTTTCAAGTATACACTACACTCTCAGAAAAAAAGGTACGAAACTGTCGATGGGGTGGTACCCTCTACCCTCAAGGGTACATCTCAGTACCTTTAGTAAGGTGACATACTTGTATAATTGATTAAAATTATTGTTTTGAAGTTGTATTGACTCCCTACACATGCTGTCTTGTCTCCAGCCTTTTTATTGTTTTGTATTGTTTGTTGTTGTTTTAAAACATAATAATAGTAGTAGTAGTAGTAAACGAGAGGCATAAATGAAAGTGTAAGGAGTAAAAAGTGTATTTTTTTAATTGTATAAAAAAATATAGAGAATATAATATAAGAAAAATACAAATCTTTCAAAGTAATACAGTGATGAAGTCTAATTAGTTAAGTCATTTCTGACTCTGTTCATATTTGATAAAGTTACGTTTCTTGATGGTGAAGAGATCAGTTTTCTTGCTGAAGCTACATAGAATTTATATCTTAATCAATTCCAGTTTTGAAAACTCTTTTTTTTCTCATTCTACCGTAAGCAAGTGGATTATCTCTATCTAATCTACTCATAAATCTCTGGAAGATGAAAAACTTGGGTGGCCTCTTACTTTTGCACTGCACTGTACATGTATATTCAACAGATAGGTTTAATATATTTTTTGAAAACAGTGACATGCTACAAACTCACATGCCTGAATGTACAATATTATGGGCAATAAGGAGAGCCAGCTTGTGTTGACGTACAAAATGTGTGCACTGTAAGGATGGTGTGTTTGGACAGTATGTGCCTGCAGGAAAAATATGAATAAAGAACCGCAAATATTTCTTTAGTCACACATTCTGATAACACTGTAAGAGTAAATAGAAATGAAAATGCCAGAAACCGTCTAACCTCATCTCAGTAGCTTTAGTTAGGCAACAGAAATGTATAATTTTATAATCGATTAAAATTATTGTTTTGAAGTTGTATTGACTCCCTACACACGCTGTCTTGTCTCCAGCTTTTTTATTGTTTTGTATTGTTTGTTGTTGTTTTAAAACATAATAATAATAATAATAATAATAATAACAATAATAATAATAGTAGTAGTAGTAGTACATGAGAGGCATAAATGAAAGTGTAAGGAGTAAAAAGTGTATTTTTTTAATTGTATAAAAAGAAATATAATATAATATATATAATATAATATAGAGAATATAATATAAGAAAAATACAAATCTTTCAAAGTAATACAGTGATGAAGTCTAATTAGTTAAGTCATTTCTGACTCTGTTCATATTTGATAAAGTTACGATTTTGGATGGTGAAGAGATCAGTTTTCTTGCTGAAGCTACATAGAATTTATATCTTTTAATCAATTCCAGTCATGGCCCTCTACGCCCTCACAGACAGTAGGGACGCGGGGTGTTGCAAAGTGGCAAACCTGGACCCATCTGTGCTCATAAAAGACTAGGCTATTTCTTGGATGCTTCTTTTATCAAGATTTCACAACATTCCTAGTCCTCAAATTGCCCCTGTCCTAACTTCTTATGAATGTTTTGCAGACAAATAAGACCAGGTGTCCTTTTAATGAGAAAACAAATATTTAGCTGAGCTCTGTGTGCCTGGTTTCTGATGAATTGAGGGCTTCAGGTTTCTCAACAGATATTTAAGACTTACAAACTCAATTGCCCAACTTTTTGGAATGTTTTACAGGAAAGAAAGAGCATATTTTTACAAAAAAACAATGAAGTTGATGGACTAAAACATTAAATATCTTGTCTTTGCACTGCTTTTGTTCAAAATACAGGTCAGCATAGATTTATAAATTACTGCTATCTGTTTTTTGTGGATTTTACATACTGTCCCAACCTTTTTTGGAATTGTGTTTGTACTACTGGCAGTGCTTGGCTTTAATAAAACATGAAATACAGACAATTATGAAGCAAATATGAAAGCTTGTGGACTTTGATGCTACAAATATCAACAGAAAGAGAAGAACACAATGAATTTGTGGTGGTAAAAACCTCTTCTTTCATTCATAATACATCAACAGTACATAAACAAGTAAAACCTTGTCTAATTTACATCACCTGATGGCATACACTTCTAGTGCATGACAAAAATGGTAAGAATTTTATATACAGAAAAAACATAAAATCCATATGCTGACATATTAGTATCAAAGTACTTTAGTTCTAAACTTAACAATACATTCTACAACATGTTGCTTTCAGTGCATAACTACTCATCATTCTTAGCGTCATAACCATCATTATTTCACACATAACATCATAACCATCATTCACATGTAATCTTCGGTAACACTTTATTTGAAGGCCATCTACATAGAGACTTCATAACATATGCATAAGCACTGAATACTGTATTTACAAAGCAATGTACTGCTTGAGAATTGTATATCTATTTTATGATGTAAATGCCATTGTATTGACATAAGGAGCGTTAAACTTGAGTGGCAGACCTTTTTCCATTTATAACACTCTTATGAAGCATCATTATCAAATAACTGAACTAATACAGCAGGGGCCTAATTAAAACCACCATCAGTGCTACATATTTCTACTTGAGTTTAAGTACAAAAGTTCAAATTGTGACAGACAATACTGAACAACTGTAATAACATTATTATGTGTGAATGATGCTTCATAACAATGTTATAAATGAAACCAATGCCCAACACTTTAGTTTAAGGCCACATATGTCAAAACTTAATAAACCATATGTCATACTGAGAGTACTGGTACAAATTTGGCTATAAACATTCAAATATTGCTTTATTAATGTGCTGTAACCCCTTAAAATCCCAGGCTTATTACATATAAGACTTATTATTTAGTAACTGAACTGACTTCAATGCAAACTGGCTGAGCTAATCTTAGAGGTTACAGAAGTGTGTAATAAAACGTTGGGCCTGCTGGGGGGCCCTGGCCATGTGAGGGGTTAATTATGCATGCATTTTGAAGTCCTTAGCCTTCAAATGAAGTGTTACTTTATACTGTAACCATCATTATTGCCTGCTTCATAACAAATGTCGTCATCATCATCATCATCATCATCATTCGCAATACGATCATGCCATTTCTGTATAAATGTCATCAAAAAATGTTAACAATCTGCTATTTTATAGTTATATTCAGATCAAATATTACATCATATCATCTCTGTATAGCAGGTGTGCCCAGCTCCAGTTCTAGGCAGCATTTTCCTTGTGTTAACTAATACTGATTCATCTCATGAAGAGCATTATAACCGAACATGTATAACCAAGCAGAATCAGGTACAATCTACAGCAACGCCCAACGACCCCAATAACTCTAATGACTACAAGAAAAATCTCTTTGGCTCAGTCTCATTGCACTACCCTAGCTAGGAGTGATTCCATCTTATAGCAAAACTAAAGCTAAAATTAAAAAGCAGAACATAAAAACACTTTAAAACATGCAAAAATATTGCACATTACAACTGCTTTGGTATTCCACTTGAACTCTGTTAAAGGTAGTGTAAAAGTTCTGTAAAAATGTTGTTTAAAGCATGGCTACTTCAGTACGAGGACCGCAGGACCTATAGATATTCCTATCAGAGTGTAATACTGTGTACGGGAAGGACAGATTATATTCAAAGAGGATTCATAAGATAAAACGACTGAGTACCGTCTGTGAAGGTACAGCTGTGACCTTTTAAAGTGTATCACGAGCACCAAAAAGTTAGCAATGTGCTTATCTAGAGCTGAAGAACTCCTAAGACATTAAAGGGACTAAGCCTACTACATTTGCCTTCCAATGGAGAAGCCCCATTCAGAATGTAGGCCTTGGCTTGAAGGGAAATTCCCCCGATTTTTCAAAACTTCTAAATAGTTAACTTGTTAAGATGCAAACGAAGTCATTCAGAGTGGTTCGGCGTGAAATGCTCAGAACTGTTCACAGTGGTGGTGATGGGAACCAGACGTCTGAAGAGTTTAATGCCTCTGAAAGTTCCCTTGTGGAAAGATATTACACATGTAAAATAGGTAAAGTAGTCCCCGAAGAAAACTTATTTTTAAAGATTCGCAATATTACATATGAAAACCTCAGAAGACACATGCAGATTCACTGGTGGTTTTGGATAATAAATAAAACGGCTATATCTGTGTTGTAGACATGGCGACCCCTGGTTCCTATCACCACCACTGTAAACAAATCTGTCTGTAAGCTTCTCTACAATGACCCATTTCATATCCAACCACTCTGAATGACTTTGTTTACATCTCAGTGATTAAATTACGCAGAAATACAGGTGGAATTCCTCTTTAATCTCAGACGACTCATAGTGTGCAGCAGTGACAACATTTACTTCCAACTTAAAAAAAATATAAACACAATAAGAAAACCTACAAAACCAATGGCGAGTAAGAGACAGGTTCTAAATAAAAGCCAACATTGATCTTTTATCTAGCAGGCAGCCCTGCATGAATCAAACACCCTTCAGACTCCATCAGCACCACTGACCAGGGTGGTCCTGACTCAGTGTCCAAAGCCTGAACTGAGTGACGGCATCCCCTCTTTCAGCCTGTTAAATGAGAGGCGGACAGTGGACCTCCTGTGTCTCTGAGTCTGTGCTTGACTGGGACTGAGACTGAGGTTTGATGATGATTTCTACAGAGCGCTCTCCACTGTCTGGATTGCTCTCTGGTTTGCTGTCTTTGCTCTCTTTACTGGACACACTCTTATCCACTCCTTCACAGGTCTCCTCCTCAGCTGATGCTCCAATGGGACGCAGGCGCTCTGCTGTCTCTATCTTGCTGTCTTTGACCGAGTTCTCCTTTTTCGCTCTGTCCTCTGGACCAAAAAAAGAAAGAAACAGGAAATAAATTGTTGTTGCGATGGTGTAATCTTGAATTATGAATTATTTCTCATTAGTAACGTGAAACAATCAAAGAAATTCTATCTATATGGATTCTGAACTTTCAATCCCAGAAATATTTGTGTTTGTAAGTGAAAGAGGAAATTTTATTATGATTTCAATTGATTAAAAGTTGTTGTTATACAGTCCTGTTTTGTGAAAAAAAAACAATCATCCCTTACATTTTTGCCATATTATTAGTATTTTCATCATCAAAACAAGCAGAAAAAGTCAGAAATGCAGAATTGAACCTGTCAATTCAGTCCAATACAGTACAAAATGTAAAGTAGCTATGTTATTAATTTTTGTAATGATGTAATTACATTTAAATAGTTTAGCAAATTGACAGTCATGACTCTAGCCTTCTACTTTAAATGCCTCTTCATTTAGTTCAGCTCTACATACATCTTGTCTGATGTGTCATTCTCATTCAAAAAAGACAAACCTCTTAGACACCATGATTAAATGAATAAATATCTTAGAAACCTGTTATGCTTTCTCTGACAATTGACGATTGCCACCTCAGTAACTTAATCCCTTTGTGAATAGGGCTTAAACGGACAAATTATTAATGAAGCTTGTAATACATTATGGCCAGAAAACAGCCACGCTGACTCTTACCAGTCCTGTTGGTGGTTGTTCTGCGGAAAGTGTACTCGTAGTTGCTGTCACACTCGCCTGGCTTTCTTATTGGTCGTGTTTTAGGGCGGAGCTTGTTGAGACGGCCCTCGTGGATCCACTCGTGCTGCATGCCCTCATCTGGAGTCATGCGCTTAGCAGGGTCCCACCTGCCACATAAACAAAACTTTTATATTTAATGTATAAACATATTAAAAAGCATAAACAATAGCTAGTTTTACATGTGCTTCTGGTTTTGTGTGTCTGTGATTATATCTGCACGGAGTGACTGAGTGAAACTGAGTACACTAGCATACAGTCTAGAGAGTAGATTGAAATACTACCAGCTAGACATCAAAAGGCATTTTAACAACATTTCAATATTTCATGTTTTTGTGAACTCCAAGATGTTACTAAATGATAAGCAGTATACTGTAACCATTTATTTTATAGTCATTTCTTGATCTGCCTTACATTTGATCACAATGCTTCAAATATGAGACATTCTGACATTAATTTTAACATTGTGGAATCATCTACAGCTCTGTTCATCATTCAACTAATTAGCTGAAACCTGTGAATTTGGAGTAGCAGCGCATTAATAGTACCATAATATAATCATTTTAAACATGGACATGCAACAAAACTGGTTTATATTTATGAAATCAGTGACTTTTGAATGGTATCATAAAGAATAAACAGTAGCGAATATGATTAGAGATGCACAGATATTTTGCTAATGATGACACACAAACATTTATAAAAGGTAGAAATTGGAACTAAATCTACCTGGATTAGCATTACAGAGAAATAAATGATTTATTTCTGTTGGTAAAATGCAGTAAAATTAATAAAATTCAGACATTTAGTGCAGTAGTCCAGCACCTAAAGATCTGTCTAATGCTGATAATTTATTAAATAAAATATCTGCAGATACTGACCGATATGATTTGGACATCATCAAGCATCCCTAATAAATGAACAATAATCGAACAAGATAACATATCTTGGATATACATACACAAGACAGCGCCTTATAAAGTCCAAAAACAGAGGATCGTTGGTCTTCAACACGCTGGCAAGATCCTTTGAGTTGGGTCTGCGTTTCTTGCCCTTGCTGTTAGTGATGTTCCGTGGGTTCCCTTTCGAATCTGTTAGGACAGAAACACAACAGTGTAAATGTATTAATACAGCTCTAGAGTCAGCTGCAGTGCTGACAGGATTATTGCAGCACAGAGTGTCTATTATACTGATGATCAGTCAGAAAAACATACCGAAAAATAACCGCCTTCTGGATGCTGTCTGAACAAAGTCATTTGGAGGCAAGCCCAGCACCTACAAAACACAATTATTATTATAAGAATTATTATTAATAAAATAAACATGAAATAAATTATTCCTTTTCAACATCAAAAGGGAATTTTACAGATTTTTTTATATTATAATTTCTAGAATTAAATTGGATAATTTTATAAAGTCATTCAGATTGGTTTGATATGAAATGGACCATTCTACAGAAACTTAGAGACAGATTTGTTTACAGTGGTGGTGATAGGAACCTGGCGTCTGAAGCATTTAATGCTTCTAAAAGCTTCCTCACAGAAAGCTTTTATTTCATAAAAAGGTTATGAATAGAGGGCCTGAGGCCGGAGACAGTGTTTTATGATAGTTTTGAAATAAGATTTTGGCCTAAAACTTGTATTTGAAAATCCATTCATGGAAGAATGGTACATACAGGATGTTGTAAGGCAAAATAGTGCTCAAAATAAATGATTTTTAATCACTATTTTATCATTAACAACATTACAAACTCAGAGGACAAGTGTTGGTTTTTTTAGCTAGAACATAAATTGGCTGTACTTGCTCTGTAAACATTATGACCCCTGGTTCCTATCACCACCACTGTTAAGAAATCCCAGCTGGGTAGCTGAATACTTGAGACTATGTGGGAATCAGGCAGCCAACCACTGGCATTTATTCTGAAAATGTCTAGTATAAAGCATTTCTGGATGGTACAGAAAGGAAGTACGTAACGCACTAATGGATATATTTAATGTTGAAATACCTTTTCAATTTGATGTTTTACACTCAGGAAATTTTGATTTATATTTTGAAGGATCTGATAAATACCTATTTGGGGTTTTGATAACTACCTGTAAAAAAAAACATAACTGGGCACTTTTTGACTTTTTTCACCCCATCTACAAATGAATAAATTTGTCAGGTCCTGGTCGAAATGCATTGCTTTTGTAAAACCCTTATGACCACACTTTATGGAACTATCCAGTGATTAATCTCCACTGCCTGTTTTGTTGTGCTGTGTTCTCATAATTGTACTATCTAGCAAATCTCATTGGTTTCACAAGCTGCTGCATTTTTTTTCTTTCCTCCCCTATGCTCCACCCCTCTACATCGCTCCCTGTCAGAATGTATACAGTTATTGAAATTTTATATTTGTAGAGACATTGCTAATTATTTCACTTGTATATGTATATATAAAGAAATCTGAGCTGGTACGGTTCTCTTCAATGAGCCATTTTATGTAAAACCACTCTGATTTGTTTACATTGTAACTACTAATTATGTAGCTTCCCACACACAACAAGTCACATTTAGAAAGTGGCAAAATCATCAGATAGTGAACAAACGAATACTGTGATTATACTACATACGTTGTATGTTGAAATTTTTTTGTAAAGAAAAATGAAACATTTCACACACAGATTACAAAAATTTCATGTAATATGTGCACATTATTAACAGTTGTACTGACCTCCATGATACAGGCGATCTGCTCTACCTCGCTCTCTCCCGGGAACAGCGGGTAGCCTGTGTAGAGCTCAGCCAGGATGCAGCCCAGGCTCCACATGTCTATAGCCATGCTGTACGGGTGGCCCAGGATCACCTCTGGAGAGCGGTAGAAACGGCTCTGGATGTAGGTGTACACTGCCAGCAGAGAGAGAAAGACTGCTTCAATGAAGTTCTAAAATATGTATGCTGTTGGTCATTCATGATGTAATCCTCATGACATTAGAAACTAAAGTTAGAGAGAATGAATAATTAACACATTTATGGTTTAATTCTCACGATGTATAATAAAGAGGAGTTAAGAAAACAGAAAACAGATCTAACAAGGAAGAACTGAAGAGAGGGGGCAGGGCTGTTTCTTGCTGCAAGTGGTATAAGCAGTTGCTTAGGCATCCGAGCCACTAGGGGGCGTATGTAGACTACATGAAACACCTCTTCTTTTGGATGGACAGTGAAATACAGCACTGAGAAAAAGTCTTATGCAGCTAAAAAAATGGTTTAAAATTATTGCTTTTGGCATGAAATGTGTGTAAAAACACTAATGTTACAATCTTAAACATACAGTAAAACATCAAGATTTTGAATTTAATGAAGCGTTGATTGGATCAACCAGGTATTGGATAGTGACTAATACTGGGCTTCCTTGTGGAGAGTTGTGGAAATATTTAAAGGGGCACTTTGGCCTAAAACTAGCATCTTATATGTTATTTGCCATGTTATGTAATAAGTAATATGTAAAGCATTGCTCACTTTACTCACTTTATACAAAATAATGTAAATGGCCCTGAGAGAGAGAGAGAGAGAGAGAGAGGAGAGAGAATTTTACCTCTCTGCTGCTCATAGCAGCTTGACCCAAAGTCGACCACCTTGATATTCCCCTGCCCTCGCTGGGACAGCAGAATGTTCTCCTTTAAAACACAAAAAAATTACAACAGTTGAAACTTTGTGTTAAAAACACAAATTTTCAAGCTTTCCTACTGAGCCCCGCTGGTGACATCCTGTATAAATAAAATAATGTGTGGCCATGCATTAGGATCTTGTTCTTACGCATTATTAAGGCATGGCCAGGCATTATTTTCATTTATATGGAATGTCACCAGGGCTTTATTATAGATGGGGTGGCTTTGTGATCCTCAAACCCATCTACTCTCATTCATATCAACGAAAATTCACAGAGATCACATCATGCTACAGCTGAACAATTAAACGCTATTGAATTCTATTGAAACTGTAATATAAAAGACTGCAATTTCCAAGTTGCAGGATCTGCAATTTTAATTACATCCTAAATTATTCAATGTCATTGTACCAAGTCTTAAGTAGGGAAATATACCCTTATAACAGAGCTTGTGAACTGGCAGCCACACTGCATTCAGCCCACTGAAGCCTAAAAAAAGGCCTGGCTGTTAATGTACAGAAAATAATTGCATTTAAATCACAGTTTCAATATTTGTCAGAAAAGTCAGAATTAGATTTTTCCCTCAAATCATTCAGCTCTACATAATGCTTAAACGTCTTTGAGTGATTCTGAAAAATGTGTACCGGTTTGAGGTCGCAGTGGATGATCTTTTCCCTGTGCAGCATCTGCAGGCACTTGAGCAGAGAGTGGGCAAAGCGCCGGATTAGGGCCAGACTGAAGCCCTGGAAGTTGTTCTTCTTGATCAGTTCATACAGGTTCGCTCTGTGTGGAAAGGAAGAGCGGTAATTGTAAAAAGGTTTCCATTCATGCAATGAAAGGCAGAAGTGGCACAGCATGCCATGTTTTTCAACATGGTCCTTTAAAAATCACATGCAATACGTCATTTCAACCTCTAGAGGGCAGCAGTTTTAAACTAACACTCAAGCTAATTCTTCTTCACTCAGGCCCACACTTGATTAGTCACTCTTAGACCTGCTCAACTACATGTAGTCTTTAGCGCTTCGATCAATAGAAGGTAAATCCCTCTGAAGGCTGTGTTAATTGCTAAGCATTATGATAAAGAGTCCTGTGAGAGCGGTGGTCTGAGAGTTATCTTTGGCAGTAAGGGGGGTTTGTGACAGCAGCTGTGAACAGCACCCACAGAGCCCAGTGTAACCGGAGCCTTCACACCATGAGCGAACGAGGAAAGAGATAGGGACCTAATCAAGGCATTAAGTAAAGGATTTGGTGACAGAAACTCGAGACGGGGTGGCGAGCATCTGACAGCCTCCTAAAGGTCAGGACGCCTGAGGCTGGAACAGTTTCTCACAATGTGCCCTAATCGATCACTTTACCCCAAAGCCTCAGAGGCCCCTCTGCATACAACTCTCACTTCACACTCTGGGTGTGGGGCAAAAAGTTATGTTTTAAATGTTTTAAACAATTTTATCCTAACAATAATTTTGAGCATCACATTATCCTGTATACTCTCTTCAAAATAAAGGGTTATTTGTTCAATGCCATGGAAGAAACAATTTTGGTTCCCTAACAAAATATTTTTGTATATGTATGAGTGTGAAGAATCTTTTGAGAACCTTCATGTAATGTAAAGCTTCTTCACCAGTTCTCTACAGTATGTGGAAGTTCTTTAATGTTTAAAAAGGTCCTTCACACTCACACAACTCATTTACAAAAAATGGTTCCCTGAAGAACCACTCACTGAATGGCTCTTCACACTGCAAAGAACCCTTTTTCCCACCAAAAGGATTCTTTTCATTCATCAGCTTGTTCTTTAAAGAAACATTACTGTAAATGTGATATACGAGTGAGAAGAACCTTTTTAAAACTTAAAGAACCTCATGACTGGTATACACTCTATTAACTGGTATACACTCTTAAAAACCAAGGTACCAAAAGGGTTCTTTTGAGCAATGCCATAGAAGAACAACTTCTGGTTCCTTAAAAGATCATTTTAATTGATGCTTCTTTAAATGCGTTAAATATTTGTTTGAATTCTCTGTGAATTCTGAAGAAAGTAAAAGCTCTATATCAATTAAAGATTTTTCCTAGAACTGTATGTTCAAGCCAAGAACTATTTAGGAACACTTATTTTAAGAGTATAGAACCTACACTCATTAAGCTACATTAAGCTTCTTTAACACCCTCCCTTAACCTTAAAATACAACAATAAAGCTTTATAATAAAGACGTCTTAGTCTATCACTTCTAAAAATTATTCAGTAATTACTATAAAACATGTATGATATGCAGTAATGAGAGTGAGGAACTAAAGTGTGGGCCTTAAAGATGAGCTTAAAGATTCCTTACACTCACATATCCATTAAAAGTTCTTTAGGGAACCCAAGGTGGCTCTTCTGTGGCATCCCTGTGGTGAACTGAAATGTTTCACACCTGATATGTTTTCTGTCCTGTCTACATTTTGTCACTGGAGTGTCACTGGATCCTCTGCATTTCGAGGCCATTTAGCAGTCAAAATACCAATAATGATGCATACAAGCTAACGCCCTGTGCACTGAAATGACGACAAAAAAGCATGTCTACTATTATATAACTAAAACACTATTATATGATAGCACAAGCTACTCAAACTGCAGCCTAAACCTGCCAAAGCAACTTAACTACCACATTTAATAAGGCTTGCTGGTTTTGTGGGGTTCTTTGGTGGGGTTGCCAGTCCTATGGTGTCAAATCAGTGCGCAACAGTGTTAGCTTGTCTGTAGCAATCGTCATATTTCAACTCCTCAACAACCTCCTAACTCAGAGGATCTGGTGACATTCGGAGGAAAAATGTCCATATAGCAAAATCTATCAGTTTTGGAACACTTTATGTATCACAGGGCACGACAGTGATTTTGAAAAACGCCATTCATTTTTCTCATAGCAAAAATCAGCTTAGACTAATATGGGCATGACGCCGACTACAGAAGACTACAGAACCTCAGAGACCCTTAAATGCACTCCAAGCTCAGCCGCTGACTCACTGTTTGTCTGTGCTTTGGCGTCTCTCAGCCCTGAATTACTGTAAAAGGGTAATTGGCTAACTCCATTACTGCTGTGCTGCTATTGACTCTGCATTCACATAAATGTTTTGAGTCAGTGCAGCTATTCTTACAGTGTGCAGTGTTTTCCTCACCCCAGCAGCTCGAAGGAGATGCAGAGATGGTTGCGAAAGTAGAAGTACTCCTTCATGTGGATGACGTTGTGGCAGTTGTCGCGGTCTCTCCTCCGCACCGCGTCCAGAATCTTCAGCTCTACCAGCGCCTGCTGATGGAACCTGCAGACCACACAGTGAACAGTGTGTAATGTTTACATTTCTCTGAATAACTCATCATCGAAACATGCATCACCTGCTCTGAAACCTGAAGTTATGATCTTGCTACGATCAATATGTAAGATCTTTTTGTAGTTAGAAGTGTAGTTATTGCTGTTTTGCTATGTGTTCAACTTACATTACATAACTACCACATAAACAGATTTTTTTGTTAAAATTTAAAAAGAAAGCATTACTGAATCAAAAAACAGGCTACAGTACAGTGTGCATGTGCTGCTGCAAGTCCTGTGTAAAGCTTGAAGTAGTGATTTACAAGCGTAGGGCTGGTTTTCATTTTTCGGAAGTGCAGGCTAGAAAAAAGTCTATATAGATAATTCACTCGCATCCTCAGAAGACACGTCCTTCACCACATTTTGACTGAATTCTCTTTCAACGTGCTTGCAATCATCAGATTCATCCCCTCGGTGACGGGGTCCAAAGCACAACCCATGTTACAAGTGTTCTTCTGCATGCTGCATGTAATTACACATTTCCACCAAAGAGGTCTCCAAATCCCCAAATCCTACATAGTGCAGCTTTAAATGAATTAAATACTTCAGATGAATTTAATTCATTTTCTGTATCAACAGGTTTGAGACCACACTTATAATGTTCTGTTTGTTTTGATGCCAAGCAATAACAAAATGTGGCAAAAATGTAAAATATACATTTTTTATTTCCCCAAAACAAGACTGTGTGCACAACAATAACTTTTTCAAATTCAAATAATAATAAAATATCACCTCTGCCAACAAACTCGAATGTGGTACAGATTTAAAGTTTAGAATCAGATGTTTTCTGCTTGTTTCAATGAGCTGAGTGAGAAACAATGTGAAATTACAAATGGTTCTATTATCGTGAGTTCTTCATTGGAAAGCTGAAATAATACTCATTTTAAAATCCCTGTATTATAGTTTAATAGACCTTTATGTATGCTACTACACTGAGTACAACTGCTGCACTCATTTGAAGTCCAAGTTCAAAGCTTTAGGCTCAACCCCGGCAGTGAGTCTAGGGCAAGCCCTCTCCGCTAAGCTCTCGTTTTGTTTTCTGCATTATTGAAAGCCTGAAAACCTGATGGCATCTGCATCAATCAAAGGGGGTGCGACGCGTACTGAAGAGCGGATCACTTGAGCGAGGACGGGTAAGGTGATATCGCCAGATGCCTTTTAACACCTCTCAGGGTTTCACAGTGACCTATGACCCAGTCACGTACAGATCAGATGGTGACATTCTGACTAACTGAACTGCTAAAACTAAGATATGCTAAAAAGTTCTGTAGCTTAAAGAAATAGTCTGGCAAAAGAATCTAATTTACAATGTAGCTCATCAGCCAAGACATGTTTGGTGTCTGACATTTGCTTAGTTTTGCACTAGAGCTACGAGGCTAATGTAGCCAACAAGTAAGAGAAGCTTTTAGGTACTAGGTTAGCATCATGGCAACTGCCATGTCAAGTAATACAATCTTAAATAAACTTACATATGTGGTTTCTGACACTGTATGATGTACTGTTATCTATAAAAATGGGCAAATGTATGAGGAAACATTCAGGCCTCAAGTCTGCTAATGCTATTGTTAGCTAGGAGACATTTGCCCATTTCTATAGCTCTTTCTTCTGCCTCAGTGAAGAACTAAAGAAGCGAAGTTCACATATCAAATGTCTCTCGGCTGACTGACTACATTTTAGGTAAAGGGGAACACTTGAGTAAGTCTGATTTGTCGCTGAACTATTCCTTTAAGCAGTGCTGACGAATGTTGTGCGTTGCACTGCTGAGCTGACAATTAAAAAGAAATGTAAGAAAAGGCCACACAGTGGTGTGTTTCAGTGCTTCCTAAGCAATGTTTTGACCCAGCTTGCCCTTCTTTCCTTCTGTCCAGCACAGCTGGCTCGAAACAGCACTGTTTCAAATAACACCAAGAGAACATTAACTGAATACGCTCTGTATTTTCTTTCCACTGAGCAGCTTTCTTTTATTTTCCATTTGAATTTTTTACATGGGACTTTTTCAAATGTTCTACATTATAATTAAATGCTATGATAATTTAGCTGATTTAACATGATATAAGATGAATTAACCTCTAAAATGAAATGGTCAGGATCCTCTGGCAAGTCCAGACTTCCATTGCTCATTCATAACTTAGAGAGGAATTCGACAGATTTTTCAAAATTTCTGCATAATTCAGTCATTGGGGTGTAAACAAGGTCATTCAGATTGATTTGATTTGAAATGCCTCTTTCTGAAGAGTTTAATGACTCTAAAAGCTCTCTCACAGAGAGTTATTATATGAAATGGTAACGAATTTGCTACCTGATACCTGAGACGTTTTTATGATAGTTTTAAGATTTTGTCCTAAAATGTAATTTGTTAAATGGCGGAGAGGTACATGCAGGGTGCTGTAAGGCAAAACAGTACTCAAAGTAATTTTTTCCAGATTTACCACTACTGCCAGCATAACACTAGCATAACACTGCCCAAAGCCAGTTTGCATTGTTTTCTATCAGAAATGGATAGTAAGTAGTTACATGTACTCCAGTAAAAACGATCTTTCTGTTTATTAAATATGGAGCTATAAAAAGTGTCACTGGATATAAAAAAGATATCCAGACACACCCAGATTCACTGACCCACCCTGGCTCTCCCTTACCCACCTAGAACTACAGTAAAATTATAATGTATTGAGTATTTTCAAATGATAACACTTTTACATCTATTTAAATGCTTGTTCTTGCTTATTCCTATGCTGACAGATGCAGGATGTACTAATAAAGTCCAGTTCTATATAGAAAACCTTTGCTTGGTTTATTGGAAAAGTAATTTACTTTTAGCTGAAGTAGTGATACCTTGTCTGAAAAAAGCAGCATTATGTTTACATGAGAACGGATTTACACTGTACTGCCCACCTCTGTTTCCCATTTAGTTACAGAACAATAAACCTGTGTTTCTGATAAGCCCTGAAATTTAAGGGGTTAAGTCATGACTTTATAGATACTGAAGGAGATACTGATTTTGTAAATACCTTTTCTTGTTGCGAATGACCTTGATGGCCACCATTTCATTTGTCTTATGATCCAGGCATTTGAGGACCTGCCCGAAGGATCCCTTCCCAATCACTTCCAGAACCTCGTAGCGGTAGGCGATATGGTCATGAAGGACCTGCACACAGATCATATTTGGAAGAAGAGTCATGTCTGGGCTATGGATAGCCAAAGCACAGCTATTTCAATCTCCATCTGGCAGGAAGACTTACTGTGTCACAGTGAGGAAAGATGGGTAAAAGTTAGACAGATAAATGAGCTAAAAATTCCCCCATTCCATATTTGTCCTTCTCTCTCTCTCTACATTTATTATAAATGGCCCATTTATTATTTCAGGCTTGGGGATTTACTTCTTCTAGAGTAACAGTACTGTGCAAAAGTCAGAGACCGCCCTTCATTCAAGGGCCATTAAGTACAAGTTATTTATTTTTCAGATTTCTGAGAAGATTAGATATAAGATAATTCACTTGAACAAGGAAGGAGAAAGTCTAAAGGAAATAAGTGAAAGAACAGAAGTTTCCAAAACGGAGTTTAAAAAATTATTAAAAGCTACACAGAAAGTGAGACTCCTAACAACTGTGCAAGACCTGGACCACCAAAACTGGCCCTATTAGAATATCAGTACTTAAAGCTTTCATCTTTGAGAGAGAGGAGAAAATCAAGCTGCTTCAGATCTGAAAACATCCACAGGTGTTTCTGTCCATCCTTCCACTGTGAGAAGACGACTCAGCGCTATGGGTCTGAAAGGATGTGTAGCTGTCAAGAAGAACCTCACTGAGAAAAGGAGATGGACACATCAAACAAAGAAGCTGCTGGTGTTCTCAGAACCAAGGACTGACCACCCCAGAGTCCAGACCTCAACATCACTGAATGGGATTATTTGAATTGTAAAACTGAAAAGAATGGAAGCTGTAATGAAGGCATATCAAAATTAAAATATATGACATTATATTTAGTTGTTGAGGCTTTTTCTGATGCTAAAAAATGAATAACTTAGTAGCTGTTCTGATTTGAAAATAAATGCGGGATGATCTGAACTTTTGCACAGTGCTGTATGTTGTGCTGTCTGGATTACTGTTCTGTTGTCCATGCTGTGGTGACCATACTAACAATGTGTCCAAACATTTAAATAATGCAAAGAGCGCGTTGTAAAAGTCTCTGTTTGGGAGTGTGCATTCACAGAGGACAGGGCAGGGAGAGTTCACATGAGGGTCTGACAGGAGATTCGCTAGCCTCGTGCTTTACTGCAATTTCCCTGTTTCTCGTGAGGTTGAGTATGAGGTCAGCGCATCGGTCAGTGCACTGTCTACTCAGTAACCATGCAGGGCTTGTCCTCATGCAGCAAAGCTCAATCGTGGAGACATACGCTTTCCCGTGTATGGTTCATGAGTGTGCGTGCGGATGCTTGGAAAGCTTCATTGTCTCTGACCTTTTAAATGGGCCATGAACAGATTACTAGGCAATGAATGAATGGCCTACTTTTAAGGCATACTTGATACATGATGCGTGTGTGAGGGAATCAAGCATACAGTCGTTTACAAAAGTCCAAACACCCTCCAGATCGAATGACATTTTGTCTTGACATATCCTGCACAGAGAATACACTTAAATATGGCATATTTCTGCAAACTAGGTCACAACAGCACCCAGACGTCAACATCATATGTTTTGAGAAGCAATGAAAACTTCTAAGACTGAACTTTGGAATTACTGCGGATTTCTTTGAAAAACTGAAAACAGGTTTACCAAAAAGAAAGGAAACTATATTAAAACGAGTGTGGACATGTTAAATTCTGCAAAAACTGACATTATATTTAGCGTTTTTGTTAAATATACAGTATGCAAGATTTATACACCCAGAGTCAAATTATATGTTTTGAGCTTAACATGTTGGGAAAAAGCAAAACATGAAAAATAAACAGTAATTGTGCTATAAAATGTTCAGAAGTGTGTTCACTGTAGAGCATGTGTTAACCTCTTACATGGCCAGGGCCCACAAGCAGGCCCAAAGTTTTACTACACACTTCTATAACCTAAGAATAGCTGAACGAGTTCACATTGAAGCACCTGTAGTTACTGGCTAATAAGTCTTAGTATAATAAGCCTGGGATTTTAAGGGGTTAACTTATTTTCATCAGGGGTGGCCAAACATTTGTATACGTATACTGTATATTGCTGCTGTCGGGACAAAACGTCATATCTCCAAAATGATAACTTTACAGGAGAAGCAAAAACATGCTTTATTTTTAATGTAAGTCAATGGAACCAGAAAGGCGTTTTCAAACTATGTCAAAAACTGAAAAATGACAAAAATAAAGATACGAGGTTTTGTTCCATCAGCAGTGATATGTATATGATGATATGTCTTGCAGGGAGCTTAATCTTAGGAGAGTGCAGCTTCCACTGAGTACTAAATAAAGAGGATATGCCTGGAAACCCATCACACCTTCACCCAGCCTTGAGGAACACTATATGATGTTAAAAAAAAGCAAGACGTCCACACCCGTGATTAGTGCTCCTGAAATAGTTTAATGCAACGTTTCGGAAGCACCAGGCGTTTGCTAATTAAGCGTACGAGTGTCTTATTTTTCTTCTTGTAACATTATTTTTCCCCTGCACCTTGCAATGTGCGCACATAGCCACTCTTTAACACTATCTGATGTTACCTTGAGGTAGCTGCCATGCTCGTCATCATAGCCTGAATTCTGCGGAGATCCCTGGCAGCCCTCGATCTTCTTGGTGTCTAAGGCCAGATACCAGATCTCAGAGTAGTCCATAATCTCCTCCTGCTCGTACTCCGTGAGCTGGCTCTGAAAGTGCTTGAGTGCAGCTGTTGGCAAGAGAGGAGAAGAGCAGATGGAAATTCAGGTCCCTCAGCTTGTCCAAAAGACATGTCAGCATTTCCAGACACAAATTTCTTTTCTGTTTTATTTACTAACGTTCCATAATGTTTAATGTGTGTAACACAACTAGAAAAATGTCTTTTCATTCATAATTTAAGACTTTTTAGGTTCACACTTGAAATGATCTTTTTTCTCTCCTTTATTTTACTGCAATGGTCCAGAACATGAGAAGTGGTTTCAAGACTGTTTAACTGCAACTGCTTAAAATAATACAGTTTCTATATTATTGTATATGCTTCAGTGTGCAGTATATTCATTATATGTTTTATTTACATATTTTCATCAGTGTACAGTGTAACAGTGCACTGTTTAAGTTACAAGGCATGTTCATTGGGGGCGTGTCAGTAAGCCACAAGCAAAAAAGACCAGAATACAAGTGCCTGCAGAGCTGAAGGCTAGTTCTGTACTCCAACGTCGTCTAATATTGTTTTATGTACTTAAAAAGTAATGTAACAGTGTTTTAAATATTGCTTTGATTTTTCAACCATTATATCCTGCCAGGTGTTCGTTGTGTGATTATGGGCACACAATCCATTACCACGCCACGTATAAACAATCTGATTGGTCGTCGCTCAGCTAATGTGCATAACATTTGAGCAGAGCAAGCACGGTTTTGAGTCTCAGCATTTTATATGTATATATTGTTACTTTTCTTCACTTTATAACACATTATAACACGTTATGTTTGACCATAATTAACCAAAAATTCTAATAAAAAAGCATTAAACTTGGTGAGATGTCTCTTTGTATGACTTATGCTTAAAATTTCAGCAGCCCCAACTTAAAACACTTCCTGCATCCCCTTCAGTGGTGATGGTCTCCCTGAGAATCATGGTAAGTCATAATGACGATTTACATCAAATCAAGGTCATGTAAATAAACCAGTAAAGAAAGATCAACTTCAAATCCTCAAGAATTATTATTGGTTTGCTATGTTATTTAAATTTAATTGCATAATTGCATAATTACATAATTATTTAATTAATTAAACAGTTTTGCAAGCAATTGGCTTTTACATTATGGACTGATAGCTTTAAGTCTGCACTTCTTGCTTTTTTCTGTTTGTTTTGATGTCTAAAAATGACAAAAATGACAAAAAATGTCAAAAAAGTGAATGTAAAATGTTTACCTTTTTAATTCTATTAAACACAAATGGGTGAAAGTTTCTCATTTGCAAATTTCAATAAAATTTCTTCATGTTTCAATGAGCTACAAGTGAGAAATAATAAATATAAAATTATGCCATTTTGTTAATGCCAGCGATAACTGCAGCTACTAATGATTAAACTCTTTCTTCCTACATCTACCAGTGCACTGCTGACCTGTTGGCGACATGGGCAGCCTCTGTCCCTCATACGTCCTGATCTTCTCAAATTTGTTGATGATACTTCTGGTCAAAGACTCTGAGATGTTGTCCACCGAGGACCCGAAGCGTGCAGGGAACTGAGGCCTCGGCCTCTCCCTCTCCTCCTGCAGGACAGTAAAGGTCAGCTCTCGCTGAAGGAACAAACTGAAAATGCCAACTGCCTTTTGCATTGTGTGAATATGCCATGAGGAATGGAACAAATAAAAGGACCAAATTTACTCTGAATAAAGTCATCAAACATTAACACCATTTCTGAGAAGGGTGGTTTTGTTATGACCGCGACAAAATATTCATTTCCACCCAGTGTGTGGACAAAGCTTGTGTTTTTAAGACAACTGTAATGTTAACTTTGATTGGTTTCATAGTACAATTGCCATCATAGACACATTATTGTTATTGTTTGGCCTCTGGACTGTCCAAAAGCATTGCTGGTCACACTTCGCATAAACATCATTTTGAAAGAGAAGGACCGTTTGTTCACCTGACTTTGTTGGACATTCTGCACCAGCTGTTTGACGATGTTGGGTAAGATGCCGTCTGATTGGTGGAGAAGTTTGCCGTTGGTCACCACCACCTGTTTGACTGGCGGGTCGAGTTGGGGTAAGGTGCCAGTCCCTGTGCTGCACTTCTACAGGAAAACAAAATACACAGATATATTCATAGCATTCAAAGAATGACAACAATAGAGTAGCATGACCACATTTAATACATTTCAGATTTGGGGTCCTGGATTATTTCAGAAGATATATTCAAGAGGTGAACTAACTTTTCTTCTGAAAATGAGTCACTTATGAATCAGCTCACTGGCTGCACTGAAATAGTTTCGAATGCATCAAAATCAAGTCAAGTCAAAGTTTATTTATATAACGCTTTTTACAATAGATGATGTCACAAAGCAGGTTTACAGAAAAATCCAGGTCCAAGCAAGAGGAAGAAACCTTGAGAGGAAGAAAGACTCAAAAGGGGAACCCATCGTCCTCTGGTCAACACCGGAAAATGGATTTAAAACCGGAAAATGGATTTGGCTTGAGGAATTCCAAAGAATTTGTCAAAGTTTATGTATAATTAACTAGTTTTGATGTAAACAAAGTCATTTGGTGTGGTTTGGTTTGAAATGCTCTGTTTTGGAGAAACTTACTGAGTCAAAACTGTCACAGTGGTGGTGATGGGAACCAGACATCTGAAGAGTCTAATGCCTCGAAAAACTACATTATGGAAAGTTAATACATAAAATGGTTAGGAATATGCTGCATAATACCTAAGACATTGTTTTACAATAATTTTGAGAAGGTTTTGGCCTTACAATAATAGAGGAGTGGGTAGCCATAGGGTGTTGTAAGGCAAAAAAGTCCCCAAAGAAAGCTTATTTATTCAGATTTACCACTAATATTTCACTATTCTCATTACATATACAAACTCAAAAGACATGTCTAGGTTTGCTGGTGGTTTTGGATAGTAAATAAAATGGCTATATTTGCATCAAAACCCCTGGTTCCTATCATCACCACTGTAAAGAAATTGGTAAGTTTGTCTACAGTGCACTTTTCATTACTGAACCACTCTGAATGACTTTGTTTCCACCTCAGTGACTAAATAATGTGAAAATTTGGAAAAATCGGAATAAATATCTGTATGTAATTCCCCTTTAAAGTTTGTCACTTTGACACCGCTTCTGATAAACATTCACCCTTCCACCTGCTAAGCTGAGTGGCCCCAGTGACCTGCCCCCTGGGTAGAGGATGGAATTTCAAGGCAGGGAGAGAGAGAGGGGAACAAAAAGTGGTCTGACAGGGGCTGCCATTTTCCACACCATCAGAGAGTGGAATAATAACTTTGGCCTCCTCTCCACACTGACCTGCTTTCCAGGGCTGTTATGTTTGGAGGTGTATATTACAAGGCTTATAAGTCAATACTGTCTGCATACAGTAGGTGTAGGTGTACATTCTACAGGCCTTCTTAGCTCTCTTTTTGTCCTTCCAGACAAAAGACTGACCCAAGCCTTGACCTAAACTGTAGCGTTGGTGGTAATCAATTGAAAACACATATTCAGCCCAGGGCTAAGGTTAACCTTTGCAAGGGAAACTGACCCTGCATCTGAAATGTGCACATTGGTGCTTTTGGACTAAATTTCTAATTTTGCTGGCAAAGAATGCAGCAAGAATTCTGACCCCTAAAAACCAAATGCAGGGCAAAATATTAGGGACAAGGCTCGTTTTTACCCTGCCAGTTTTTTGTCCCCCTGACTTGAAGATTCACACTCGGACCTCGGCAACTTTCTGGGCCGAAAAAGGAGCAACCTCATCTATAGATAGACGTGATATTTAATCTCATGTGTTCCAGGGCTGCTGCAGTATCTGCCAACTTGATTATGATGCATAGAGACAGAAGCTAAATTTAGTGCAGAGGCACCTGCAGAACCACACGAGCGGCTGAATACAGTAGCCAGGCTGTAAACAAGAGGCGTCTGAGCTGTTCAGGTACCGCAGCTGTGAGTTTAAACCACAATCAGGTCAATGGATTCTGACATTAAGAGGCTCTGCGTAACCACCACGTCTCAGAGTGCTTCAGATGGCTGACGCTTCATTACAGGCTGTCCACGAAGAGCGTATTAAGTTAGTAGTTAAAGGCCATTTAAAAGAGACACAACCACGTCACAGACGACAACACCATACATATTTAAAAGTAACCTTGGTAACACTGTACAGGTTTTGTTTGTAGAATGTATAGGATTGGCTGGACCTTCTAGATTGTATGGGTGGCTGGATGCTTGTGTAGGTTTAGGAGTAGAAACTAACCTGCATAAAGATGCCCTGTTACTGTCATATACAGATACCTGCATTACATTAAAGGGGAATTCCACCAATTTTTCACCAAACGTTAATCCATGAAATGATAAAGGGTTGCCTGATGAATGAGACATTGTCTCAAAAACTAGTTTTTGAGACAATGTTTTAGCCTAAAACACTTGTGTTATATGGCAAAATAAAACCCAAAGAAAACAATATTTTCAGGTTTACCATTATTTTACATCATCAACAACTCAGAAGATAGACATCACCACCCGTTTCTGTAAAATGAACCATTCACATCAAACCACTCTGAATGACTGTTTACATCTGAACATTCTGAATTATGCAGACATTTTTAAAAATCAATGCAATTCCCCTATAGGAACTAAGATATTATAATTATTAGTCATTTAACAATCGAGGTTTATTTCATACAAAGGCTTATTATCCAGTAATTACAGGGATTTTATTGTTAGGTTATAGAAGTGTGTAATAAAATTTTGGGGCTAAGTGACTTAGTGGCTTTATTTGGGGCTAAGTGTTAAATAGCTATTTGATACATTCTGTATCAACAGGTCTGACTAGCAGTGGGCGATATAGCGAAAATATAACATCACAATACTTAAAGATATGGTTACGATACATGATATGTCATGATATTTCTTTTTTCTGACATCTGAAATGTTGGAACAGGCATACAAGAGACACTAGTGCCACGTTTAAAAAAATCCTATCATTGTTATTCAGTGTTTCACATGCTGCGCTGCTCTAAATCCAAATAAATAGGACCGATTATGCTCTCTGTAACAAATCACGCAGATGTTCAGTGCTCTAAAAGTACTGACAATATCTATGATATGCTCAGAAAAGCTCATTTGACATACTGTGACATAATGTATCACAATAATGATAAATATAATCCAACCCTGTTTCTGCCGTGTCAAAAATGACAAAAAAAGGTAAATGTTTTTCTTTTTAAAAAAGACTGCAAGAATAACGTCCATTAAATAAGGTATGAACTGAAAGTTTATAATCTGCACTTTTAACAGAATTTCTTATAATTCTTACATTCAAGTAATTAAGCAAAACGTAACAAGTGGTGTTTCAAGGTGTTTCACACTTGGGGGCTAGAAGGGTTAACCATCCCTTGAACTAGGATATCAGAATCATATCAGTAACAGCATATATTTGCTTAAAGAATGTGTGGACAGATGTTTAGGTTATGTATTTGTTGTACTCCAGAAAAGCAGAATGTTTAGGTGGCGTAAAATGTATTCACGTTCCTGCATTTGTAACCCTCTACAAAAAAAGTTACACTTCTTTGTAATGGCAATTTAATGTAGTCCCAATTTCTGCATTTTGTAAAAGTTTATGTATCAGCTTTAACAGATATGGAACAGAAAGTATTTGATATCTGCTGAGTCAGTGTAGTGTATTTAAGTAGGCGTACCTGTGTATAGGTGCGGTTGGTTCCTATGCGGGTGCTCTCGGCCTGTGACCTCTGAGGGTGAGGGAAAGCCTCTGGTCTGGCCGCCTGCGGAAGCAAACAAAGAAAACATGTAGTGAATTGGCCAGATGAGTGGGCACACGCACACCTCCCACGGCCTCCGTCAGCTCTTAAAGAAATGCCCACAGCGTGGGATGCTGTCTGAACGCTGAGGGAATCAACGCTCGCCTTGCAATTCACACAGCATTATTCAACACTCTGCATGACTCATCAAGGTCCCTGCGCTTAATTAACCTGCTATATTTACAGAGATCCGCCGCTTCAAAGGACTGTACTGATAAAACAGATACGCACTCTTTATGTATGGACAATTGCAATGTCCATACATACCTGTGGACACTGTTAAAAACATTTTAAAGGGGATGATGGGTTCAAATGACAGGGTGAGGGGAGAGTTTGGTTGGCTATGAACTCGCTAACCTTAGTTTTTACTTTTGCGGTGGTAAAAAGACTTTAAATAAACTGTCTGTTTCATAATATGGAACAAAGTATGTTCGCCCTCAACTTTATTTGACATGAGGGACCCCCAGTAAAGCAAACTGGTGAGTAAAAATGTCAAATTTGGACGGAATAGACATCTTGGCTGATACCACATGAAGGCGATAGGAATGGTAGATGGTGGTTTTAGAAAGGGGATCAATTTGGGTTTTTTGACCTGAAGGTAATGGCTTCTCTTTGCATCTTCCATCAAATCGAGCCCTGTCTATGGGTCGAACAATGGTAGGTAGTGGAAGCAACCCTTTAAAAGTGTCCACAAAGGCAATCAACCCTTTAAGGCTGATACAATAATGTGGCTATTTTTGTTACTCCATTGATCTGCTATTCTCCCCTAATAATGCAGTTCTGCTGTTGTTGCATTGATTTGATATGTAAAGAGAATGATCTAAAAAAGCCAAAAATATGTAGATTTTTATTTATTTTACATATTTTTCTATAAGCAAACACATGAATAGGAATATGTCACACATCACTCTTGCCTTTTTGATACTATGATAAACCTAGTCAATATTAAGTGCTTATTGATCAGAATTGTGTTCTGAATGAGCGTGGAAAAAAAATCACAGTGCATCCAACAATAAAGGAAGCATCATGCATCTTTTATACTGTGATAGAAAACACAACAGCACACAGAAAGCTCTGATTCTACAAGCTGACACACTTCACTCTGGCCATTGTGGACATGCATGGACTTTAGGCCCTTTTGCAGCAGATTTAATCAAGTTTAAGGGGAATGGATCATTGGTGAGGCGCTCGGTTCAATAGGTTTAAACATGTATAAGGGTTTAGGACTGCTTGGAGTCATCAGCCCCAGATTACTGTATCTGTTTATACTGTACTACATTATCTTAGAACTGTGCATCATAATCCAGCCTCTCACAATTCGTACATAATCCCCTCATCACAATTATTTGAGCTGACTGCAATTATTTGCCACAGTTGTGAGCTTATATAATCATATGTTTACACTGCACCAAACAGAATTGTTGAACTGGGTGCGTTTTCATCCAGTGGGTTGAGGCAAATGCATGTAAAATAAAGCTAAAATGCATTTTGTTAAGACAAATTTGTTTTTCAAAACACATTTTTTACAAAAAAACTAAATTTCGAATTTCTGCCTGGTGCTATAACAATCTTCAGAGGGCAGCAGTGAGTAATGTTTGCTTATTGAACATTTGTGGTCTATTAAGTACTGACATCTAGTGTTCAAGACAGCTAATCAGTCAAATTAGGCCTCTTTAGGCTTGTACTTCAACAGCTGCATACAGTGAACTCAAAGACAAAATTTAATCACAGTTATTTAGATGGTAATTGTCAGCTATGGCAGGCCTGATTGCAATTCAATTAAGTCAAGCCAATCTGTTTTCAATTAGCCACTCAAGTCAAGCTGAAGAAATCATATTTGCCAAGGAAGCGGGACGAAAGCCAGTCATACATGTTGAAATGGGACACGTCTATAGAAATCACCCTGTGGTAGCCTCTTCTTTACTCTCCCATGAGGACCCCATTTGCTGTCAGTAAGCTGAGGGATCATGGGTATCAAAGGGGCCGCTGTTGCCCTGATCGGTCATGGTGTCAGACTTTGGCACACGTGGAAGTGAGGAAACAGCTTTGCGTTTGTCTTAATCGTGAGGACAGCGTATCCATAGTGGTGACAGACAACATATGGGCGGACCAGAAGGCCCAGTCCAGCTGGGCACTGCCCCGACACAGGCTGCCACAACACTGCATATGCAGCTTTCTGTGCTCCTGTAGACCTGATTAAGCTCATGACAGACTTGATTAACAGCTGACGAGCTGAAGTGGGTTTATTAAAGGGACCATTTTCCAACTCCTTATTAGGCTTAAACAGGCTATCTGTTATGTAAATTGTTTCTGCCCTGTATTGTGCCTTGTTCACTTGTTCAATTCTCCCTATTACTTTAATCTGAATGGGCGTGGCTAAACTGCAGCCAGCTAAATTGATGGATATATGTACATTTTTTGTTTCTTGTGACATCACAAAAACAATCAATGCAAAACAGGCCATTTTAACAGCTCATTTTCCTTATGTGGACTATATGGATTGGTGGAGTGAATGTTATATTTTGACACTTTCACAAAATCAGAGTCAAAGTTGTGAGGAACATTTGGTTTTCCATGATATAAGCCCTTTAAATCAGGGCAAACACTTAACTATGCAGTGTTCTGGACCTCCTGGACTTTTTGACAGTCTTGCCGTAGAATCTCGCTGTGCAGAGGCAGGGTTTCAAAGGGAGGTCAAGCAGAGTGGACAGACTGACAGAGCAGGGGACAGAAAATGCGATGATCCAATCCATGCACGCCGCTGGACTTAAGTGGTTTGCACCCGTAATCCAAGCGCTTATGTACTTGTTCTAAAACACACAATGGTATTTGGCTCAGATAGATATCTGCTCCAAAGGGAGGGGGGGAGCTGGAGAGAGACGCTGCTTTGGAGTCACTTTCATTCACACAAGTGGTTTTGGAAAGAGGTCAGTAAGTGATTTGTGTGAAGCCTATGAAAAATCAGAGACTTAAAGGGCCCATAGCAAAAAACTAACTTTTCCTACTTTTTTTTTAAAGAGTAAAATGTAGTAGGTACACTTTTCAAAGACAGACCATTTACTCTTCATGCATGGACATCAAGCAGCAAAAACAGCCCATTCTGAATTCATTGTTCTTCTGATGTCACAAAAAGCAATTTACATATATGCACTGATTCAACCTACACCACTTTAGCACCACCCCATTCACGCTGAAGTTATACGGTGCGTTTCAAGCTGGACTGCTTTTTGAATGAAGCACAATACAAGGCAGCCAGTCAGAACAGAGATCATTTACATATTTCAAAAGTATTAAGGACCCTATATCATGGAAAACTGCATTTCCTTTACTTTTTTGAAGTAAACAATATTCATATATGGAAATTAAGCTGCAAAAACAGCCGTTTTTGAATGATTTTTTTCTGTGATGTCATGAAAACCAACTCATTTACATACACTCCACCCGTCCAGCCTGCTGCAGTTTAGCCCCGCCCATTCACACTGAAGTTATAAGGAGTGTTGGAGCTCTGAGTGGTTTCTGAGGCACAAAACAAAGCTCATTTACAAATAGAGGTTGGAAAGTAGTCTTGTAAAAATGAATTATGACCATTTATGGTACATAAAACCACGCAAATGTTAAAAAAATAAAATACAAGAGAAATGTAGGATGTGGGTCCTTTAAAGTTGCAATAGCAAAAGCAGCCAGTTTTGTTCTAAGGTATAAAGAGAGGATAAAAAAATGGTCATGCAAAAATGAATTTTCATACACAAACCCACACAAATGCCATAAGCGGACCTTTAAACAACAAAACATAAGAAAAATTAAGTATGTGGGTCCTTTCAATGGCGTCCTCAAATCTGATCACATCTATTTTTAACATTGCAAGTGTAAACATATTTTTAGTTGATCCACTCTTTAAATTTAACAGCGCAGATGCAGCAGGAACAGAAAAGGCACATTTAGCAAAGCCAGAGCCGATATTCACAGTCGGTCGGCTGTGTAATGTGAGCCAGAGACTCAAAACACATTCAAATATTAACACCTGCGCAGGTTTTCTGCACAGTCACTTCAGCTCTGAGCTGAAGCTGCGATGTGGGTCAGTGTGTAAAGAGCTGGTGAGTCTAAGAAAGCACCTTACTTTAGCAAGTTAAGTGATTGAAGCCACACAGCTGTACATCATAGATATACTGAAAAATATGTAAACTGAGGAGTTGAGACTTCACTGTGTGAAAGGAATCTGTTAAATGTTCCACAGATGGACACTTGGCTCCTTTAAAATCATTCTGGCCATCATAGCTTTAATTAATGTTACACAATATTAAAGACCCAAAGCAGACAAATAATGTATAAACGGTGTCTGTTTGATTTGGCAGACAATTCAAAGAAGGCCAACAGGTCTAGACGTCTTTAACAATTATAAGGAGCGTCTTAAAAATCGAATATGATATGAGAATTGTGGGCTGATGCTGATATCTGACTGATATCTGTACATTTTTAATGTACATACCTGCCAATGCTGATACAGATAAAGACACATAAACATTTATAAAAATGGGGACTAAATCTACTCAGATTAGTATTGCAGAGAAGAGTAACATTTATTTGTAGAGGGTTACAAATGCAAATGAATAAAATGCAGATGCAGTAACCCAGCGCAGTCTAGACATCCAGCTCTTCTAGAGTTCAATATATACATCATCAAATATTGCTTTGAAATATTGGTCAAATCTAAACATCTGTCTGATGTCGATAATTTTAACAGCAATTATCTGCCAGTACCGATGTGATTCTGGTATCGTTGAGCATCCATAATATTTAGAAATGTTCCTCCAGTGCATAGATATTAAAAAAGGGTATATTGTTAAATTATTGCATCACTGTGGGTCTGGAAATAGTTTAAGGAAACAGCCTTGATTCATTTAAGTTCATATGAAATAACTTCTGGGTAGCCTGTAATAAATACTTCTGGTGTAAATCTCTTACCTCTATAATTAGATTTTATTATGATGCTTTAGGAAATGATTCAAAGCAGTGTAAAATCACAAATATCACCAGAATCAGATTATTTTGCTACCAACACACAAATTTGACTGGATGAACTATTTACACAGTAGGACAATGTCCACAATAAAAACAACATACATGAACTTTTTGCTATTTTTTACATCTGAAAATAGCATGAGACTGGCCAAAAAATGAGCACATACTGAATATTCTATATTATTTATTCTATAATTCCAAATTTGAAGCAGTCAAAGTCAGATACATTATTAGATCCCTAATAACACTAAATAAAAATTAATGGTCATTTTATATAAGCAGAAATGATTTCATATATGATATTTCCCTAATCCTTTTGACAACAAAAAACCAAATCAGATCTTACAAGGCTAAGATTTATAGCGCTGTAAAACAGCTGAAAGGGTGGTGTGGTCATCTGAGAAAGCCACAGGACACAGGTATGACTAAAAACACACCATATGTCGTTCCCAACACCTCAAGGCCTCAATGCTTATGGTACAGTGACTTGAAACTTGCTACTGGGTTACTTGTTGACAGCCATTTCAGTTAGACACTAGCCTGAAGTTTCTGATAGCAACTAAACGATCACATGTCCTTCTGCCAAATGTGTTCCTGCCCACTTTGGTGGGCAGTGGAAACAGTTACTTAATCAGGAAGCACCTCAGAGATACCACTGAAACTACGGAAAGAAACAAATACTCATGAGGAAAAAAATAAAGGGCAGGTTGGTAAAAAAAACAAACTACACCACAGGACAAAAACGGACACTGCAGTGATAAGCGCTAAACACCACAAGACAAACATACTAAATGACAAGCCTTCAATACCGCAGGACAAAAGGATAGACGCTGAACACAGCAGGCCAAAAATGATATTTGCTGAACACTAATGAACAAAAATATTAATACACGCATGATATCACAGGACAAAATGACAAAAGCTTAACACAACAGGACACTAAATAACACCATAGGACAAAAATGACTAGCCCTGAGCGCTACTGAACAAAAAATGTTAAATGACAGACGTGCAATTACCACAGGACAAAAATGATAATCACTGAACACTAATGAACAAAAAACATTATATGATGGATGCTTAACACCACAGGACAAAATGACAGATTCAGAACACCACAGGACAAAATAACAGATGCTGACCACAACAGGACGCTGAACACCACAGGACATAAATGATAATTTCTATAATACTATTGAACAAAAAAACATTAAATGCTAGATGCTTAACACCTCAGGACAAAATGACACATTGGGAACACCACATGACATTGAACTCCGCAGGACAAAAACGATCATTCAACACTAATGAGCAAAAAACACTAAATGCTTTTGAACACAAGAAAAACAAAATAACAGACCCTCAACACCACATGACACTCAACACCACAGGACAAAAATGATGGTTGCTTAACACTACTGACCAAAAAACACTGAACGATAGATGCTTAACACCACAGGACAAAATGACAGATTTTGAACACCACAGGACAAAATGAGAGATTTCAAACACTACAGGACAAAACGACAGATTTTAAACACCACAGGACAAAATGAGAGATTTGAAACACCACAGGACGCTGAACACTGAAAAATGACAGTTGCTGAACACCACTGACCAAAAAACACTGAACGATAGATGCTTAACACCAGCGGACAAAATGCCAGGTTTGGAACACCACAGGACAGTGAACACTACTGAACAAAAACCGTTAAATGATAGATGCTTCACACCGCAGGACAAAAACGACAGACACTACCGCAGGACAAAAAGTAAATGAATAAAAAACAGGCATCATGCAACCAACGTGAGGAACTGAGAGGAGTTACAAGTACAAAGGAGGACTTATGTTGGCAGAATTCAAGCAATTTGTTCCCTCTAACAGCATCATCAGCAATAAAGAGTCTAAAAGCAGCCACACTGAAATAGCCATCGCGATGTAATGATCTGCTTTCACACAACGTTCCAGTCCACTCGAGTGTCATTCCTACCTGCATCATTCCAACCACCAGCTGATCTTTCTAAAGATTATTGATCTGCAATGTGTCAAAAACACTTAAAACCAGTCTGAGTCTTTGCTACATTACCTTGTTGTTGATTTCAGGGAACATGCCTGATGCTTAAAACACGTGGACGGTTCAGTCAAACGTCGACCACTACAGCGTCCGAGCGGAGAGCTGGAGAACACGCATCCTCCACACACAGCATCCAAGTGGAAGTGGTGAGTTCCCTCAGAAAAGCGAACCAAACTGAGAGAAAACTGCGCCGAAAGCTCTCAGCAGGAGGAGAACTCGCAAACTGACGAGGCTCCTCTGAAGGCGGACGAAGAGGGTCTGAAAAGCTTTCGTCAGCAAGAGATTAAGAAAAGAGGCAAGCTGTTAGAGCCGTTAGGCTACCAGCTCTGACGCGGATGTCCTGAGGTGCGCCACCTGTTCAGGTTTTCCCAGCTGACGGCTGCTGGCTTCTTCTGCTCTATATAGACAGCCTATGTTTACATCTGCTTACCTCCACTAGCGCTCGCTAGTAACGTTAGGCGAGCCAAGGCGCTGCAGCCTTTAAACGGAGCTCGCTGTAAATGTTATGGCACATTGTCCCCTGGCTGTACCGAGCACTGAAACACGAGGAGAGCCCTCAGCATGAGAAGTACGCATGCCTGCCACGGTGTGCCTCGCCACAGTCACAGCACCGCCTCCTCCTCCGCTCCTCAGCTAGCCTAGCGAGCCGCTGGCTTCCTCCTCACTCCTGTTTCCAGCTGTCAGAGAGTGACATGGGCCCACAGCGAGGGCCGTAAATTTCCTCTATCACTACATCGTCACTGAGAGAAACTCAAAACGTCCAGAGACATGCGGTGGTCAGCCAAGAGGTCCAAAACAATGTAGGAGAAAGTGAGACTGTAGGGGAGCTCCAAACATTAGCATAGTGCTTGTGCAGACCAAGTAACACGATACAACATTCATTTTAAGTTTTATACTATAAAAGCTTAGACTATAAAAAATATTTATACTATATACTATAAAATATACTTTATACTTATACTATAAAAAATACACACACACACACACACACACACACACACACACACACACATATATATATATATATATGTAATCAATATTTTGTACAATGTATTTTATGTATTTGTGATTCTAAAACTGCACTCCAAACCCTACATTTTTGCCCATTTTCATAAATTTTCAGATGCATTTGATAAATGCATTGTGTAAAACTTCACAGTTGAGGGTAAAAAACATTTTTTACGTTAATGCGACAGGGCTTTATTTTAAATGCCATATAATCCTACATTTTTTTGTACTTTTTTTCTTGCCTCTCTTCTAATGTTATGTTTTCCAACCTCTCTGTATCGTACTGAACTCTGGAGAGGCCATGAGGTTGTTATCTTGAGATCATTACTTAATTATCTTGTGATCTCAAGATAACAAAGTTGGTCAAGTTGTTATCTTGAGATAACAAGTGAATTATCTTGTGATTAATTATATCAACAGCTCATGGCTTCTACAGCACAGAGCTCCGCTGGTGACATCCATATGAATAAAAGTAATGTGTGGCCACAACTTAGTAAGGCGTGGGAACAAGATAATTAAGTCTTTGCCACAACTTAGTAATGCGTGGAAACAAGATACTAATGCATGGCCATGACTTAGTAAGGCATGGGAATAAGATAATTAAGCCTTGACCACAGCTTAATAAGGCATGATCTCATTCACACGCCTTATTAAGTCGCGGCTATGACTTAGTTATCTCGTTCCCATGTCTTACTAAGTCGTGGCCACGCGTTACGATCTCGTTTCCACACCTTACCAAGTCATTAATATGGCGTGGCCACGCATTATTTTTATTGATATGCGATGTCACCAACAGGGCTCCGTACTCCGGACTTCCATAGCATGCCTTAGAATGAAACAGGTTATTTTTCTTACTATGCCTTTAAGACTGATACATGCAAATGAGCTCATTTCTAATTGGCTGACCAGTACTGCGCATCATTCAAAAACCTGTCCAGGCTGGAAAAACTCCTAACTTGATAAAGTGTAAATGTAAATAGACTGTAGTCTGCATAGGTTTATAAATGTAAATGTGCTGGATTTTGTGACATCACAGAAGCAGTGAATCCAATACAGGTTGTTTTTGCAACTTAGTTTCCACATATGGACTGTAGGTGTTGGAGAGTGAGTGGTATGTTTTGAAATTTTATCAGTGTTTATATACTACATCATACGCTTTTCTTTGAAAAAAGTGGGGCAATTCCGTTTTCCACAATATGGAATATGGTTTGGTGTGAAATGCTTCATCAGAATTGTTCACAGTGTTGGTGACAGGAACCAGACGTCCACCTCTCAAAGCTCCCTCACAGGAAGTTATTACATGAAATAGTTAGTAATATGCTGTCTGATGTCTGAGACACTGCTTTATGGTAGTTTTTTCAGATTTTCCACTGTTTAACCAACATAAACACTACATTTAAAAAAGCTCAGAAGACGTTTAGGTTCACTGGTGGTTTTGGATGGTAAATAAAATGGCTATAATTGTGAGGTAGACATTGTGACCCCTGGTCCCTTTCACTACCAGTGTAAATAAATCTGGTGTTCTGAGTTAGTAGGTTTCTATACAAATGAATCGTTTCACATCAGACCTCTCTGAATGACTGTGTTTACGTCTCAGTCTCTAAATTACGCAGACATTTTGAAAAATCGGTGGAGTTCCCCTTTAACAACAGCAAAGAACTTCAAAAGCAAGCTTGGAAAGAGCTCGAGTTAATTTTTTTCCTGCACAATTCAGACTATTGCCCACAGAAGATGAATCACATGCCACCTCGAGTAACAAAAATAGAAACAGGCCATGAACCTTCCTTTGCAACACACCTCCTCTCTAGAGCCTCTGCTGCACGTATAACATGCTCGCAGAAAAGGAGTCGGCGTTATGTATGGAGTATGAAAAATGACTCACACAGAGCACAGCGGACCACAGTTATGTGAATGGTGGGATGAGTCACTGTAGTTCATGTCTATGATAATTTTCTGAGGATTAAATGTTTGGTTGTTATGTTTAAAAGTGTAAAACGGCTTTTAAGCAGGCACAACATTATTTGAACACATTGTGGTTATGTGACCCCTTGGATTACATCAAGTCAGGGTTTAATTGTGGATTCCCTGGTGAAAAGACTGACTATGAGGAAACCTATTTATTGTATTTATATATATTATATTTTCACAATATATTTTTGTGAGGTTTACTCCTGTAGTTTTTTCACAAGTATTACTAGGCAAGAGTCTTTTAGCTTAATTTGTATCAGTATAAGCGATTTTTACATGAGAAATCACAGCAAGCAGGTCTTATAGCCTCCCTTATCTCAGTTAATTAATTAAAATATATCATTTAGGTAGTAAAAATGGATTTTACTTCACCAAGGTTTGGTGAAGTAAAAGCAATTCAGTTTGCTGTACAATTCTGGTCATATATTGGTCGTTGCACAAAAACAAGTGTTATGGCATGATACGATAGCCTAGTGTGAACATTACACTCAATGAAAACAGAGGAAGGAAGATGTTCTACTTGTGTGCAAGTTTTTGTCTGAAAATTAAAATTTTATTCACGGAAAAAACACAGGACACCCCAGGTTATATTTTATCTCTCTTATGGGTGGGGGCCCTTTAGGCTTATGGGAGGTCTGGGATCCCCCTTCCAGCACTCTCCCACCGAACAAAATCAATGCATCAAGCTATTAAAGGGACACTCAGGCCAGACTATGAAAACACCCCTTCTGATGATTTATCTCGAAGGTGGGAGGGACGTTTGAAGTACAACTGCTTTGGGGTGAAGTTTTGGTCATAGGCTGTTTGAAATGTGTTTTCAGCTCTGCAGCACTTCCTGTATCACCCCAAAGCAGTTGTGTTTTTCAAAAGTTCCTCCCACCACGTCATCGGAAGGGGATTTTCCATGTCTGGCCCAAGTGAGCCTTTAACTGCGTTCAGGTTAGGTTTTGCTCATTCTTATTGTAGACATTATATGGGTTGGTAACAAGTTAGTTTGATCTATGGCAATATTTTCAAGTGAAACTGAATATTTCCATTTAACAATGTATTTGTCCAACAACTAAATAACTTTAAAGGAGTACCTATTTCAATGAAATCACATCCAGAAAACTTATATATAAGGTAATGATTTCTTTTCCTAGTGTTAATTAATTACACATATCTGCTAAATGGAGACATGCATTTAATTCAGCTTAAGTTAATGTGTTCTGCATTTAACAAACTGTTGCCTGTTTTTGTTTTTCGTTCTGAAACATTAACAACTGAAACATGTCTAAGGGAGGGGAACAGCACCTCTCCAGCATGCTAGCATTAGATATGTAAGCTGTTTTTCCCAGTGAGTAATTGCTTCCTAGATAGAGGGGTAGTTGTAAAAACACTACTGAGTCAACAGGGGAGAGTGAGAGAGAGAGATGTGGGGAGGAGAAATGCTCTCACGACAAATGAGGAGCAGAGAGGAAGAAAAGCTGTGGCTGATTATGATTAGGGTCCTATTATGTAACCCTGAGGCACTCCAGTAATCAGAGCAAGCCATGGGGATGAACTGTTCCTGATGGAGTGCTCCTTCAGCACAATATGGCTCAGAGATGACACACATGTGCACGTACACACACTCACACACACCCACGCACACACACACACACACACACACACACACACACAATCCATGCCAGCCTTGTCAACCTAGAGGTTGTGTCCATCCCATTTATAACCCCTTGATGAGCAACAACAGCTCCTTAATGGGTCCCTCACGCATTTACACTTCATTTGAAGCTAGACATGGAAATGACTCTGGTCATAACAGCTGTTCCTCAAGCCAATGATGACAAATATTATTATTATATGACAACATACTTACATACATTTAGATAATGTATTTGTAATTCACAGGACTAGACAAATAATGTAAATATTCTTTAAAGAAGTTCCTGCCATTTCACTCATTTAATAATAGATATTATTTAGCTTATTGACATATTAAAATGCTTAATAAACACCTGATTGCACTGATTTATTCATTAATTTGCAAATAAACTGGCAACGGGTAATGTTACAATATTCATTGTTTTTGAAAAACTGTCACATTATGACAATAAGCTTTTCTCAGTAGCGTCAAAACAAGACAACAATGCTCCATGTTTCATTACAAAGAGAGCACAATTAGTCCTGTTTTATTGGATTTAGTGCAGCACTCTGTGTGAAACATTAAATGAAAATCACTGTACTCCTAGTTTTTGATAGTATTGTTAAACATGGACATACTGACCCTGTTTTGTCTGTTCAAACCTATCAAAAATTAGA